CCTGGATCTTCAAGGCACACAACACACTCCAAAGGCTGTGCAAGAAGGATCTGAGGTGGAAACCCCACTGGTTGAACTAGACTCTGCCTTAAACACACTTGCAACCTGAGGATTAAGATTGACATTACATGATGTGTTAAGAAGCAGAAAACAGCTCTACCAAGAGTATGGAACTGTTGGTAGTGGGGGCCAACACTGACTTACTACTGCAATGCCTTCCTTGCTATATTAAGATATGTATTATTCTGGCAGACCTGTGTTTGACATTGTCAGTGAATATTATTGTTTTTGCCTGACAACCACCTTCCATTGTTTGTGTAAATAGCATCCAGTCATGTAAGGATTTATTCTGTACATGTGAATAATTCAGGTATTCCAATATGTAGTTGGCCTACACTGGTTCAGTCTCCCTCTCTCAATAATGTTTTGAAATTTAGTCTCATGGGCTAATCTCTACCATAAATTTTTTTTTTTGAAAGTCACCACATATATATTTTTTCAGAATGATGTGTTGACATACATCATTGCACTACCATAAATTTAACAATGAGGTCTCTAAGGGGAGCCAAAGGCAGATAAAAACATAAATTCAGGAATAGATTTGGGCGTCTCACTAAATCCTAGCTCTAATTAGTTCTTAGAGCATGGCCTTGCTCAAAACTCTCCATAAAGGAAGCACAGAAGATTAGGGTGCTGTTGCAAACACTGGTGAAGAAATCAGATGGTGCTCAGCTATCAGAATAGCATGTGGGGTCCTAAAAGCTTGTTTTCAAACAAGCAGTCCTAAGTGAGGCATCAACAAAGTCCACATGAAAGAAGCACATCAACATCCATGACCCAAGGATTGTAAATTATATAATCCAAATTTCAAGGAAGGAATAGAGCTTAAATTGTGCAATTTTGGTTTGCAGAAGGCTATGGATGACAGTGGAAACTCAAAATACATTTGTGGGTCTACACAGGAAAGTAGCCTCTGATGATTTCCCTCTGAGGTCATTAGTTTATTTTACCAACCTGGCTGATAAACACATGTGGGGTTAATTGAAGGGCAGAGCGATAAATGGCTCGGTGAGCCTCACCT